ACCAAGTAAACAACACAAAGCAAATAAAACAAATGAGGCATGCACAGTTCTGGATAAATAAGATTTGATTCTGTATCACTGCAAAGGGGTCATTATAAATAGTGGCGGACAACAACAGTTACACATGTGGCAACAGTTACACATCTAACATCATGTGTCTGGGATAAACATACACAACGTTTAAAACAAAGCTTTGTGAACAAAGTCTGTGTGCCATTTATCTTACACTTTTTTGCAGAAGTATATTTTTAGATGCAGAATACTTCTTTCTGAGGGTACTTGTCAGTATAAAATCCCACAAGGAAATCCAATCAGCCAATACGTACCCTAAATGCAAATTAGAATAAATTTGAATATTTATTGGTCTGATCCCATTTTTATTAGTTTACTTGCTTGGTTTTTTGTCAGTGTGCATGATGAGGTGATAATGCCTTTTTACAACTTTTTTTTTCTCTCCTTTCTAATTGCATCACGGACAGCAGACTTCCTGACAGCTATGGGCCACCTGTTTTCCACAGACCATCAATTTACAAGAAACACAGAAGAGCCTCTGAACACTATTTTTTTCCCTCAAAGATTTGCCACTTCCCACTCAGGGGACATCTCATTCTTTTCAGCTGCACCAGATTGCCTTACCTCTTCTTCCATCACTGACACTTTCTCCAAACATCACAGCCAAGGAAAGGATCCCTCTTTAGATGTAGGATAACATGAACCGAAGATCAAGCTCAGACTCTTGTGGCAAAGACTGAGGGCCAGGTATCATGTTCCTAACCATCTTCACCATGCACTGGGTTTAAATGCAGAAAGTTCTCTGGATTCATAACTCACATCTCGTGTTTATGAGCATTTACTGCCAGCTGAAGGGTACTTTGTGTTACATATAAAACCCGTAGAAGTACTGCCTCAAAAGCCAAAGTGTCAGAGAAGTCAGAGACACAGCTTCAAATCATCTCTGAAGTTGGGGTTCAATGATATGCAGCTGAAAGGAGTTACACCTCAGTGATTTTTCTATCTGACAAACAATAAAAGGCGCTTAGTAGACCTCAAACTCCAGGGATCAATACAACAAAACCTCACATTTTAAACAGAAAAAATCCCTTCTATTCTCTGACATCCTTTCCTGACAAGTAGTTTACATCTGCTTTTCACTGCTTTTGTATTGTTCGAATTACTTTAGATTTACAGCAAAGCAAGCAACCCTGGTAGGATCCCTTATTCTTTCTTTTCTGATTTTTTTTTTTTTTGGTACTCCTCCTATCAGTAAGATACTATGGGCAACATTTTCCCATATATTAAAACAAGGCAATGGCTAAACAAGGGAAAATATTAATTTCTTAAGAAAACTGAGATGCAACCTTGGAAAAAAAGATGGGTTTTAAGTTCTAAAACAAGATGAATAAAATTAAAACATGCTTTAAAGATCCTGCTTAAAACAAGCCAACACACAGAGTGTGCATGCACACACACACACCAGAGGTGTTTCTTTGGGAAGCACACTTTCTGTTGCATAAAACTTGCAAACATCTCCTACCATTCCCTGAGCTTTGCCCCAGTATAAAAGACATCTAAACTCCCAGGTACACAAAAAAATCCAAAATGGATTTATTGGCCAGATACCTGGGCTTGACTGCACCGTTTGGCACAGGATTGATGGTGGGGATGAAGAGATGAAGGCAGCTTTCTGTTCCCAGGACTCCTGGGCCAACTAGAGATGGGATCAATCCCAAAAAATAATTTACAGCAAACAGAGAACTGCTGCAAGTTATATTGGTTGGCTTTGTTCTCCCCAGCAGCTCCCCTGGCTGGTGATCATTCCCAATGAATTTCAGCCCTGTCCTTACTTCTCGCTCCTCCAGGCATTCTCTGGAACATGGGCAGGCTCCGAACAAGTGGGACAAAGCCAGGTTGTGCCACAGCACACGCACTGCACGGGGACGGCCACCAGACCTGCTCCGTAGGGGCAGCTTCTCCCCCACGCTGCGCCCGCCGAGGCACACTGAAGAAGAATAAAACTTTGTCTTTAGCATGAGCGGAATGGAAATGGTGCACAGGGTGGGAACGACTGCTATAAGGTGCAGAGCAGAAAGGGAACAGAACAAAGTGAAAACACATGATTGAAAATTGAGATAAACACATTAACTCAGACTAAGACGTCTTTTCTCCTGTTGTGTATTTTTGCTGTAGAGAGTACATGAGCTATACTAAGGTTGCAGAAAGAACCAAGGTAGCAGGCACTAGCTTAATTTTGTATTGTAAAGTATTGTATTGTATTGTATTTGTATTGTAAAGTATTGTAAATTTAGGTACATGGAACATACAGACAAATCTTGAAAGAAAACACGAAAACCATTTTAAAATCCTGTCACTGAAACCCTAGGTTAGCCAAGATTTTTTTTCTCCAAGGACTGTAACAGATGACAACATATTTAAAGCTGACAAATATCTCCTTTTCTGAAAAAGATGACTCCATTGCTTAAAATATCACTAAGCTATAGATTCTACGCAGCCAGATAGCTTTATACACATACACACACACATAAACAGTTTAATTCTCTAAAAGCTACTTTTATATTACAAGCTTAAAGTATACTTTAAATATACTTATACTTTAAGTATACTATGTCTAAAATAGCCAGCTGTGGACTGGCTATACGTATCAGTCATGCTGAAACTACATTAAGTGTAAGGTAGAAAATGAATAACAACTTAAACAAAAATAGGCCTTCATTAACAATGTTTTTACTTCTGCTAGATCAAGTTTTCCCTTGCTACCACTTTTAATTAATATAAATACATTTAAAAAAACAAAACCAAAACTATCTTATTTTGCTAAAAGCAGTTAAACTTTCCCTTCCCAAAGAATCTTGAAAGGAAGGTTTCCAAGTTGTGAAATCTTGGCAGTTCTGATGTTTTTGAATCTACCTGAACAACCACAGTACTTATTAAACTCTCTTAGTAGTGCTGAGAACAAGGAAATGATGCTTCTGTGGCAACTATGAATTCCTATGTCCTATTAAAGAAGTGACTTAACAGATCAAGATATTAATTCTCTCACACTTCCTTGTATCCTTTCCCATAACCAACCTATTCCTCCTGCCAGAATAGAGTACAGATTTAATACAACAAAAATCTAAACTTTAAAAGCGCTAGCAGGTTGCTGCCGTTTTGGATACTGGTTTGAAGCTATTAGTTCCCATCTGCAAAATTTGTTTTTCTACACTTTTCCTGACACAAGAGAAGAAAGCAAAGTAGCATGATAGCTAGTGAACACGGCAGCAGCCAGTACTGATTGGTGCTACAGTTTTCTCAGAACCCTAATTTTCAAAACTATGCAAAAATTCTCATATCCTCTTTTTAAATGCATTTTCTTATACAAACATTCTTTAATCAAATACCAAACAAGAGTTCCTGGAAAGCTGACATAAACATGAAGTAAAGCTAAAAATACTCCAAATTGTCGCAGAATCACATCAAGTCTGCAGTTTTCTGAAAATAAAACTCAAAGTATTTTAATGCTTGTTCTTCAATCAATACCATGTGTTACTGCTACAGATCTATTGACTGTTCATTCAAATGAACAGATGAAATCAAGAGAAGCTCAGGAAAGAGAATTTGTCCCAGGACACATTTAGAGATTCATTAATTAAAGCATGAGCAAGCATACAAGATCTTTTCCTGGAAGAGCCTGAGCATCCAAAAAGCAATGCAATAGGCTTTGGGTGCCTCCCTCCAGCTGTAAGGTTTAACTCTGTAATGCAAATTTTATAGCCATTGCAGAAGAGTTTCTCATCATGCATGGCATACTGCACCCAATTTCAGCAGAAATGTGTCCCTGTGCAGGACTAGTCTAGGCACAACTCAAATAATGGAAAAAAATAATCCTCTCCAGTTATACAGGCTGATCAGCTCTTAAACAAACGAGTTTTCCTCCAATTTTAAGGTAAATATTTTCATCAGCCATTCATATTATCTGCTCCTTTAGTTCATTGAAATGACCCCGACATTAAAACCAAGACATACTTTAAAAACATTTTTTTTCTAGTAGATAACACATTCAATGCAACAGATGCATAAGGTTAGTCAGCATCGCATGCTGTGACTGATTTTTCCTTTCAAGCTACTGCTGGTAGTTGAATGACCCCAAACAGCAAGAGACACAGAATATTATATTAAATAAAGTTGTTAATTATTATCATATCACCCGCACATGTTATTTTTTAAATTAGGGTAACCAGATAGTACACCTTTACATACCTTATTAAAATGTAAGCAAGAATGAAACTCTTCCTCCTACTTTCTGAATGTCTATAATCAACCATATTTGGCAAGCTTTCTCTATTTTTTCTTTTTTGTTTGTGTTTTGTTGTGCTATCTGAAATTCACTCTTGGTGATCTAGGGATATAATCATTTGACTATATCCAAAAGTCCACACTAAGAAGTTGCTGTATAATCATAGTCACTCTGGTAGACACTAAACAAAATAATGACAGTCTTCCTGTTGCATTTATTTATGAATCATCTCTGTAGCCCTTCCAAAACAACACCATGCTTTGTTGCAGGATTATAAAACCACATATAAGGCAGTAATAATGAAGTAACAGACAATTCCTGCTTAATGCAAATGCAAAAATGAATAAAGAAAAAAACAAAGATGGGCAAGTCGATGGAAAAAAAAGCTGTAAGGTAGGTAATTTTTTAATTAAAAAAAAAAAAAAGTACAAGAGACAATGCTAATGAGGTAAAAATACCATAAGACCACTTCTACACTTTCTGTGCAATTTTGATTCCCCTGCTCAAGAAAACTGAATTGTTCTCACTCGGGCCTGGTTAACGACACTTTTTTCTTTCAATGTTACAGCAAAAGTTGAAATTTAAGTGTATCTTATTCACCAGGTTACCTTGTTCATTTACTTTTAGCCACTCTTAGCCATCAAGCTAGAAGTAGAGAAGAAAAAATTAGCATAAGGCACATGTTTTTTAAAAGTCTCCACAATACCTGGAAGTTCTTCATAAATGCTATCATCTACTGGGTCACTGCTTGCTTGTGCAACATCATCATATTCTTCCTCTGCCTCTTCCTCAGGAATAGTATTAGATTCCATGTCTATACAATCACAGTTTAAAAGTTAACATTTATTAGGGAAAAAATGATTTATGCAAAATGAAAACACAGTATTTACAAACTGAAAATCAATCAATAAGTAGATTTTTAGGTATAAGTCTTGCAAAATAAATGACTGCCTGATCCCAAATGTTTAAACTCATTTTTTACAAGCATGTACTTGCAATATATTCTTCCAGTTTTCAAAGGCAACTTTAAAGCTAAATAGTAAACGGAAAAAGGAACAAAAATCTTGCAAAACAAGGAAAGGCATGTAAAAGATTCGACATGAACAAGAACTAGGACCAGCAATTCAAAACTTGGACAAGTGGGAATATTAAATATACAAACATGACAGATCTGTTAACGGACAGAACAGTCATCACTCAGGAGTAGTGATCATGAAGACTACTGCTTTACTAACCGGCTTACCTTGAATTACAAATTTGACTTGCTGAACCCATTCTTCTGCTTCTTTGGGAGTGGCAGCTGTAAACTATTAAACATTTATGGGTAAGTAGCAGTAATGATAAAAATGCAAATACGATTTTATTAGCAATAGAAGGATTATAGCATTCTTGTCACTTCCTCAAGGAGCCATTAGCAATTCTTTTCATGTCTTCTGGTACTTTTCTTGCAAGGATGCTTCTTATAATGTACAGCTAATTTTGACAAATTTACGTAATTGAAGGAGAGGATGATGGATTTGAAACTCTGATCAGCAGCTGGCAGCTGTGCAGAAAAAAGCTGCTTCTCTTCATCAATGTCAAAGCCAGAACTGATGAACAAAATTTGCCCTTGACAATTAGAAGACACCCATGAATTTCTTTAGACTGCTGGGTACAGTTTCCTTAAAAATGTTCTTGTCAGACTCCAACACACTACCTGACAGCTTAATTAACTGGCTTTCAACTGCAATCTCAGATATTTAAAACTTATTAAACTTACATTCCATATTGATGTCTAGCTGATAGATCTCTGAATTGCACAGCTGATATGTGCTTTTACCTAGATTTTCCCTGCAAAGTTATGTCCAATACAATACGTATTTAACACTGATATATATTTTAAGTTTTTCTTACTACTTAATTCATCCAAGCAATCACGCAGACATACTGTATAATAGATATTAAACTACCAACATTGAAATGACCAATAGATAAAGATGATAGATTTCCTTACTCTTGCCTAAAAAAGATAATATTTGAACACATACATATATATTTTAAATCAGATTATTTTTCCTAATATATGAATATGCGCTATAAGCAAGCAAGGGTTTCTTTTTTTTCATTAAGTTGTCAGTGAAAGTTGTTTTACTGAAATGTTAATTCAGTAACTGGAATTGTAACAGCTTTATCAATTTAATTTCAAGTCAACATAAAAAGTCCAACCTGATAAATGCGCTTATCAGGAGCAGAGATTTCAAAACAGCAATCTTTCTTTGCATCCTTCCGAAGGCTATTATTCATTCTGATGGTGTAGCCCTCTAAGGCAAATTCACCTTTCTGTTGTTTGTCTGTTGGAGATAAAAAACAAAGTTAAGAACTTCATTTACAACAGTGAACGTAAGTGGCTCAGCAGGTTATCATTTATTCAGATTTTGTTTTCTATTTCATGAATTTTACAAAGAACAGGGGAGTTTTAGCGAAATGATTGGGTGATACTTCTGGAGATAAAGCTTTATTTTAAAGGAAGATGCACACAAAAGTACATTCGTCTGTAGGATGGCTAAGGAATTCCACAGGGAGGTGTTTGCAGATGGTGGTCTTATTTAGTAAGAAGCGCACGTTATGACACTTGTGTCTTGGGAAAGCCAAGGACTGGAACTTGCAAGACAAGCTTTCTATATATCAGTGTCTCTTTCAGGTTCAGTAAACCAAAGGGAAAACTTGTTTAGCTCAGAACTTGCTGAGCTCCCTCCTTAAACTAACTGCTTTACTCAAAAAAATAAACTTCTTTTTAAGCAACTGCAAAAGCCTTTCTTCACATTCGCCCAACCACTCCCAGATGTGCCTCCCTTGCACAGGGTAAAGGCACAGAATGAGTTTTGTTATAAATTCAGGCATGTTCTGAGCACATTCTTCTCAATGCAGCAAGTGTTTAATTAGCCAATAAAAGTGCTGAGCCCTACCGCAGTTTATTATGCAGAGCCATGTGGCTGCTTTAAGACAATTCTACATTTCAGTTTTAAAGGTTCTGGTTTATAAAACTATCACTTAGAGCAGGCCTGAATTTAAATATCCTGCATGTTGGGATAGCGGCACCTGTGTGTTCCTTCTGAGCTTTTTAGACGAATGCCTACATTTAATTTTATGCGTTCTGGCATGTTTTGGTGGATATTAAAAACAAAACAAAAGAGAATAAAAGTAATCCAGTTTTGCAATTTCTATAGACCACGGTGCAGCACTCAAGATAATTATCACTTGCATTTTGCTCAGGCCTCCGGCAACGAAGTGCAAATGCCAACAAAACTAAATGGCATTAAGTCTTTTTTTTTTTTTCTCAAGGTAGGAAAAAATATTAATTAACAACCATGCATGACAACCTCACTTTAAGTACTGCAGAACATAACTTAGATGTAAATCAAGCACTCATTGCTTCCACATGTCAGCAAAAAGGGAAAGCTTCTGCAGCAGAGAAAGTAAGGATCTCCAATTTTCAACATAATTTTGACACTTATCTGGAAACTTAATAGAAAAGCAAATCTATTTTTCACTTCTGAAAGGGCAAAAAACAGATTAACATAGCAACATGGACATCATGGTACAGTGGATGTAAAGGCAGTCACCAAATATACACTCTGCCAGTAAACTCATATGCACATAGTCACAAATTCTCTGTGCTTCCCTCTGTTTATGAATTGTCACCCAGGGCAAGTAAAATACCAAAGAATGGGATTACAGAAGCAAATCTGAGGCACAGAATAATGTTCTATTTTCTCTTTCTCGTCCCTTCCCCCTCAGTAAATTTTAGTATATACTCAATGGACAGTGTGGCACAGTACTCATATGTTATGCTTGCTCAATCTTCCACCCCTCTATCAAACGGCACACAGATGCAAAATTCATGAAATCACACCAAGGCAGATATTAGAAATAATAACCTGCAATAGGTTAACTAGGTCCCCTTTTAATGAAATTCACTTCAGCCTAGACATTTTATTCTTCCTTATGACCTCAGGGAGAAGATGAAGTGAAACACATTAATTTCTCACTCTCCCATGCTGGAGGTTTATCAAAACCCGAGAAGAGAGCAACACGCAGACAGAATAAACAAACACCAGGTTCAAAAGGTAAAACCATTTTGTCAAGATAAAAATGAGGCAAGTTATTCAAATTTAGTCTCTAGGAATACTTCTGAGAATATTTCTCTGTCACAGGGACAATCCCCATTCTATAGTAATAGTTTTACAGAGTTAATCTCAGATGCTCTCCATATTGGTACTTGTTCTTTCAGAGAGCATTAGAACTAAAATACAAAAGACGCTGTACTCTGTGCACAAAGAAAACGCAGTCTCCTCCACATTGCACGCAATGTTGCTTTATTGTTTATATCGTCTTCGTCTCATCTCTCCAACTCCCCATATTCCAGTGCTAATGAAAAATACTTGCATGCACGAACAAAAAAAACACATCCTTTGCTACTAGCTTCTACCAGCAACCCTTACAACAACAGGCTTTGTGGCTTTTGTTTCTGTGCAGCAATGCCTGGGCATTAGCTATGCCGAGGAAAGCCCCGCAGAATATGAGGACAACCTAAGACAGCGGAAGAGTTCACAGCCCTGACCCAGAACCCATTAGAGTTACAGACTCGGCCTGCACCCGCGCTGCCGGCACCATCAAGCTGGAAAGTAGGCCTGGTGTGTCCTGAGGAACAGCTCCACCAGCGTGGAAGGCTGCTGGCCTACAAACCCCGGCTGCTCCTGCAGAGCACACCCTCCTAGGAAGGACGGGAGACCAACTCACGACCTGATTGCCATGGGCAGACTACCACGCGCGATAGCAACACGGCCTGGCACAGCAGCCAGCTGCAGGCTTGAAGGCAACACCATCTTGCGACAACATGACTCAGTGATCACCTCAGCTTGATTTATTAGCAAAGAAAACTCTGGATGAAGCTCAGAGCATATAAAGTCAAGCACACATGTTAATCTTTGCAGAGTAATCATCTCTACCAAAGAAAAGACTGTTGGGAGCTTGCATGCAATCAATTGTCATTAGAATTCTATGCTTATATTAAAAATGCATTCTAAATATTTGTGTTTAGTGATAGCTAAACAGCTTTTGAGTTTTAACAAACCCTGAAATGTCTAGACTTTATTATGAATCTAAAATTAGATATCATAATTCTTAATGGCAGAAGCCTTAAGTGTCAATGGCTTCAGGGAGCACAGTTCCATTATAGAGATTTCACTTTCATTTTAAACCCACAAATCAGACCCTAGGTTTTACTAGATAAACAGAGAAAAATCTTATTAGAAAGGGCTAAGGGAGAGACATACGAATAGAGCACATTTTTCTGAAGGATAATAATCTTGTCGCCTCTTACTTTCCCAAGCTGGGGCTTTGCAATTTAGCATCAGGAAACCCTAAAGTTGTCACAGTGTGTCAAACATCATGGAACAGTGTACCAAAAGCTAAAGTATAACACACTGAATCCTGTAAAAAAAGAAAAATAAAAGAGATAACGGAACATGGACATTTGCAAGCGTAAATTCTTCCACAGTTCATGGAACAGTGTACCAAAAGCTAAAGCATAACACACTGAATCCTGTAAAAAAGAAAAATAAAAGAGATAATGGAACATGGACATTTGCAAGCATAAATTCTTCCACAGTTCACAGAATGTCTGAGGTTGGAAGGGACTGCTGGAGATCATCCAGTCCAACCTTCCTGCTCAAGCAGGATCACCTGGAGCATGCGGCGCAGGATCCTGTCCAGACAGCTTTTGAGTATCTCCAAAGAAGGGGACTCCACAAACTCTCTGGGCAATCTGCTCCAGTGCCCTGCCACCCTCACAGCAGAGACGTTTTTCCTCATGTTGAGACAGACATTCCTGCGTTTCAGTTTATGCCCACTGCCTCTTGTCCTGTCGCTGGGTGCTACTGAAGAGAGTCTGGCCCCATCCTCTTTACATCCTCCCTTGACACATTGGTAAGAACACCCCAGTTTGGTCGTATCTAATTTCAGAATGAGTTGTTCCCTGTTCTCTTCCTCATTCTCCCTTTAGTACGTATCAGGAATATATCAGGAGGAAAAAAAAAAAAGTGTTTCTGGAGATCATTTTGCATCAGGAATTTGGAATGGTAAAAAAAACAGTGCAACAGAGCAGCAGATACTAGGTATTTAAAACAAAATCAAAAAGAGTACACCACCATTTCACAAATAAGATTGAAGGAATATTTTAAATCGAGAAAATACAGATTAGAATGAAACGAAAGCTGCTTTAAATGTTCTTTTTTTTTCCATATAAACTTCATGCATTCCAAAAATAGTAAAATGCTGTTAACCACGGAAACAGGACCAATATTAGAAAAAGAAAAGCCCAAGGGAAACACAGCAAAAAAATGGTTTTGAAGTAGTCTTGCATAACTGAGTCCATGGGAACTTTTAAAACAAAGGAGGGCAAACCTTCAACTGGGTCTTGAAATGATTGGGTTGTAAATTTGAGGCCTAAGGCAATGTGGCCATATTAATAGCCCATGTAAAAAGAATTAACGCATTCTGAAGAACAGAGAGGACTCTGATGGCATAAAGGAAAGAAGTCACAGAAAAAAAGGCATAAGGAACTGAAGGCAAACAGTAAGGTTTCAGGGAGTGATAAATTATAGACTCTAATAGTATCTATAAATACTTTAACTCTCGCCTTTTTGAGATTATGAGTCTCTGAGATTTTATGGTTTACATGGTTTCATGCTAAATGTACTTCCACATACTTTCCCATATGCAGTATGTCTGCTTTCTAAAAATAGTAAATGGCAGTATTTCCAAAACGGTAATTTCTTTTCCAGCTTTTGGAGCATGCACAGGAATTCTTTTCTGTTAGATAGTGAACATGAAATGCAATATTTTGTTTTTTTTTTAAATCTAGTCTTTTGAGAAATTTAGATGAAAAAAACTAAGAAGCAGAGGCAAAGATTGAAATACATTATTCAGGGCAACAACTTATATTGCTTATATTGGAGGACAGACTGGTATAGTATACCACTGGGCCAAACACTTGTCCACGGGAACCGAATAAACCTATCATCCAGTCCAGGAGTTGAGAACTGTTAAGATGCCAGTAAATCTTAAAAGTGCTGGATTTAACAGCCTGAAAATGCTTTAAGTTACGCTATTGATTAGGATAAAAAAAAAAAAAAGTAACAGCCTTTCCCTCTTCCAGAGATGCACTGCTACACCAGATAATTTGGAATATTTTATAATATATTGGTGAGATCATGTGCATTTCACATAATCCTTAAATTACTATAATTTTGTAGCATCTTGTGATCAGAGATAATAATCAGGATCCCCTTACTTACGGACCTATACCCTCATGAAACTTGGAGCTACTTATTTGCACATTCATACTCCCTTTAAAATCAACAGGTATTGCAAATGTACAGCCACAGATGGCATAAAACCCCAGGATTTAAAATAGCAACAGCGTGAACAAACTGAATTCAGGAGAATATTTTCATCTGCTTAAATCACTATTCCCAACTGAAATGCAGGTGATCAGGGAGAATCAAGACTTGCAGATCCAGTCATGGTATTTTTTTCTTGATTGGGTTGTTTTTCCTTATAATGCATTATTTATGACAACTATATCTCTTGAGATCTGAATTTAACATTTTCACAGCAAAAGACTCTGTTCTCATTAGACTGATTCCTTTGATTGCCATCACACCCTGCTATGGGGACGTCCTATTGAGCCGACACAGATCCTGCAGATTTAGATCATGGACTTTATCAAAAACAAAGTCAAAACTGAATGAGTTTTTCTCGTCTTTTCGATCACGTGCTTGTTCAGAGGTGGAGGATTAAGAGAAGGAGGTCTGGAGCTAACAGCCAAACGATACCTCAGCAGTTACTCATTTGGCTCCTGGGAGAACTGTGTAAGCCTAGGATGGAACAGGAATGTTAGTACCCTGGTTAGGGGAGTAGTAGAAGAGACTTGCATATCCAGCTCTAACTTTCCTCTCTCTTAATGCTTTCCAGTCACCATACTCCTTATATGTGTGCATACCAAAAATATGTATTTCAACATACACACGCGTGTGTGTGTGTGTATGTGCATACATATATAGATAAATAGAGATATATCTTTTGCCAAATGAAAGTAGTGCATCCACTGGCCTGCCCATTACTATCTCACCATTCAGAAGAGACTTCCAAAACTGTTACATCCTTGCTAAAAAATGTCCATCAACCAAGACTTAAAAAGGCCTCTGAATTATTCCTCTCTTCAGCGTTGTACCACTGGCAGACAGGCAGCCCCATTTCTGAGTTATAAAAATGAATATAAATTTTTAGTGTCCATTAACAGGGAAAGATATTACCCAGATGTTATCAGTAACTGTCTTGCTAAACATTTAGCTGATCTCTTCAGATTGCTGAGAAAGGAGGGCATATAAAATTGTGGCCTAGTGAGGAGAAAGTAATGAAGCTCTTAATTCACTCACTTGTAAAGCAATAAATTAACTTTCTTTACATGCACTCTGGAGTCCAAGGGGCAAGCCACTCCACCTAGGTGCCCAGGTACCTCGGTACTGCCAGGCAGATCATAGCGATGAAGAGCGGGCACACAAACAAGGTACCCATTTGAGGAAGCTCCTGTAGGGACAGAAACAAAGCAAAGAGGACTCGAAGTGGCTTGTGGAAGGAGAGACTACAGAAAGGGGAGCAGGCAAGCTCCTGGAAACCTGTGCTGTCTGTAGCACTTGAACGTGCTTCTCTGCAGTGATACAGGCTGCATCTTGGCAATGAACATTGCGGCACGGCCACAGATACACACACGTGCAATACCTACTTCGGCCACTTACTTGAAGTAAAGCTTTAAATCCTGCTCCTTCATCTACTCTATATAGTCTTGAATGCAAAGGACAGATGGTTCCCTTACTCTTGTCTGTATTTCAGGGATAAATAACATTGCTTCACTCTCCAGTGCTGCACCAAATTTACCACAAAAAAGGTGAAGAAAAGGGGAAATGAGACATGCATTAGTCAGCAGGTATCACAAATATTGAAAAGGAAGCTTCTAATCTCTCTCTTTCTCCCTCTTTTGCCTGAACAATCTCCTCCTTCCTGCCCGAATAACCTCATCTATTTCAGTTTCCCAGGCTTTAGTTTGTACTGTACTTGCCAGACTGGGCCTCATACCTCTCAAAAACAGTAAGCAGGTCTGAAAAAAATGGTTCTGAAACTTTTGCTTCCATGGGCTTGTGAGGTTTATACATTACTATACTGTTTATATGCTATTACGCTGTTTTCAGAAATGTGAGAAGAAAAAGGTTACAAGAATTAGAAGTATTTTGGAAAGAACAAATCTACATAATCCAATAAAAAGGCATCCTATACCCTTAAATTTAGCAGTCTGTTACATTTAAACTGATATTTAAACATACAAGCCAAACCTTGATCAACAAAATACACATTTCATCAGATAGAAAATATCCTTCACACATGAGCAGTCTACATGTCCCAGATTTAAAAACATCCGCAATGCAAAACAAACCAAGCAAGAACTTGAAATCCCTGCTACCTCTCTGCTTCACATTCCACAACACATATACACTAGCACTCAATTACTCATTAAAGTTGACACATGTAGCATAAATGTGAGCATATATGGAATCCCTCGTCTCCCTTGTCTCTCTTCAAACTGGTTTCACATTGACAAGGGGAAATTTTCCTGTTGTGCGAATCAGCTCTGGAATCTGTCAGTAACCAGGACCCAGCTGATACAAAACGCCTGCAGACACTGCACAGACTAGGGCAGGCAACATCATTTAGACAGCTGCCATCCAAACAATCTGGGAGGTGGCAGCAACTCGGGAGGATGGCACTGAGCCATCCAAGCGCACCCTTCACCACTACCCTACAGCTGCTGGGGGCACAGTTGCATTTTCAACACGGCCCAAGTTGGCTGGTACCGCATCAAAGGTCGTAGCGAAAGAGAAGGCCCAAACGGCCCAAGCTACGGCAAGTGCTATGCTGGCTGCAGAAGAGGCAATGAACGTAGTTTCAGGTTCTTCCAGCAAATAAATGCCAAACCTTTTCATCACTCCCCCACCTTACACACTCTGTTCTTCCAGAAAACAGCATACTAAACCAGGGTATCCAGTTTCCAGGCAATGCTGGCAATTTGCTTCTGCACTGGAATGGGTAACCTCATGTCCTAGTGCATTACAAGGCTGAGGGAAATAGCACAGGTCCTTCTTCTTCTAACACAAGCTATGGAGTTACTGGCCTGGCCATCCCAGATCTGGAAGATAATGTGTTTCCATCAAGCTGGTTTGCCTGCACTAACAGCATCAAATACTGGAATTTCTGTCCTGCTTCCAGGTATCTGATTAGTTTGCTTCCTTCATGAGCTATTGTTCAGAGTCAGTCCATGTCTGTATAATTCCCAAAAGAAGCTCCATAGACTAAATGCCTTCACCACATCACTACGTTACAATCAGAAGGATCTTCCCCCAAAATCCATAGTCTTTGAAAGCTCTATATGTATAAACGAAAGCATTTACCCTTAATACCATAAAGAAAAGACATGATATTCCACAGTGTAGTACAATCAGTTCCTAATAGGATACTAACTCTGTGGTGCTAGGGAATCTTAACTTTCAGCATAGACATTAGAAATTACAACATAGCTTTGATAGTCGAGCTGTTACAAAAGGAAAAAAAATGTAGCAGGAAAAAGGGGAGATGGGCAGCTTCCCTGCCTTAATCCAAAGACTGTATGATAGAATGTATAATCATTAACATAGACAAAAGTCAAAAGTATATGCAAAAACTTCACTGATTTTTTTTGCAAAAATTACTAGGTTAAAAGGCAAAGAAGATTTTAAAACCCAGAAAAGTCTTTAAAAACTAACAATTTAAAACATCTATTTTTGTTTCAAAGTTGTAGACAATATAAACCCTAGAACCAGAAAACCATGCATAAGCAAACGGTTCAACATTCTTTTTCAGAGAAAGAACAAAATTGCAGTTGACAAATCAGTATAACGACACACTTCTTCACAATTTTTGAAGAAAGATTATTTATATTTTCAAAGTTTAATCAAGTAAATCTCAAAGAAGCAGTAAACAGAACAAGGAACACTTGGAAGATAATACTATCCAATCTCTGGGAGCAGAACTCATGAGGAAGAAACTGCAGCAAGCTGAAAACTGGTCTTAAACATCCAAAGTAACTGAGATATGGTAAGATCTTGACTTACTTTCTACCTCATTTTTAAATATAGGTTGAGTTTAAATGAATCAGCATACAAGGAATGAAACAAACTGTATCAAACTAAATCAGTCTTTGAATTAATATGAATAACACTATCTTTACTAATCTCAAATAATGTCACACAAACATAAGCAGAAGAAAAAGCTTAGCATTTATTCAGAAATAAATATTTTTTAAAAAAACATAATTTCTTTTTTAAGAATTACTAAAAAAAAATTCTGTATCACTCGTTTTACTCCAAAATACCAAATATACTTAGCACAAAATTAAAAGGATGTTTTATTTGATTGTCAGTTTTGGAAGTTCCAAGTGATATCCCACGGTTTCAGCCAGATTCTTTCTAAACTGTTCTTTAGAAGTTACCTTCAGAGCTAGCCTTAGCTAGTCTTCAGAACTGACTTTCAGTTAAACATATTACTTCATTTCTAGCCTTTCCAGAACATAAACAATTTAGCAAGAAACATGGAACTCCACTACACAATTTTTAGACTAACATTTTCCCGGAGAGAACCACTCTTCAAGGGGCTCAGTAAGGAGTAATTGCTAGAAGGTGTTTTAAAATGAAAGTCCCATTTGGACAAAAAAAAAGCATTTGCTGTCTAGTAGATTAATTAAGCACTAGAGTACTATCAAACCTAATAGCTAGCTCTTATTTGCACACCAAGTAGCTTTACAAGTAACTTAATCTTTCTTCCTCAGTTTCCTTGCTTTTGAAAACGGACACATTTTCTTTAAGAGACAACAATTCTTTTAAAAGGTTCATTGCTCTCTCAAAATGACTTTGGTTTCTCAGTTTCCAGCTCCACTAAAGCTTTCATACTCTTCTGTGTATTAAAAGAAGAACATTTTAATAGTTTATCATAGTTATTATAATTACCTTTGTCACTTCCATAATAATAGAAGACCGTCTTACTGATAGCACACCAACGCTTCTGCCATTCAAAGCCGAGAAAACTGTGGTCTGCAATTAATATAATTTGTGTTGTAACACTTTGTGGCATTATTAAACACAAATATGTTACTTCTTTCAAGGGTGAGGGAAGACAGAGGAGGGAAGAGGAGACAGGAAAAGTGCTATGGAAAGGAAACAAAATCTGGATATGAAGGAGGGGAAAAGTACGAAACTGAGAAGGAAATTAAGTAAAAATTGTAGGTGAGTGGAAATTTGAAATCTTATAAAAAGAAAATGTGTGTGCCATTATGAACATGAAAATTATGAACAACTTCCTAAATGTTTCCTAGAGTTGTTGCTGCATTAAGTGCATATTAAGGTGACAATATAAGATTTATTGAATCAAGGTAAATATTGACTGAACTAAAGCTGAGATCAATATTTGCCCTCTTGAAGGAAAATAAATCTTGATGCTCAGTGAAACATGAAGTCAACATATGGCACTTTTGCATACGTTCCTAATGTTTTCTTCAAAAATATCCAGAAGTGTCTGAATTATAGCTGACACTGGACTTTAACAGCATAATTTTTTTAGTCAATAAAGAAACGAGATTTTCTTTTAATACTACAGTAGAAGTTATTTGCTGTTTTCTTTCTTTTCTGTTCTTTTCTTTCAACTTCTAATACATTTTCTCAATTCTGTGTATGTTATTTCTGTATATAAATGCACACAGACTTCCCCAAAATAAAATGTACCCTAAATATTCTTCACAAATTCAGGTAAACTTACCTTTTCTGCGTTTTTCAAGATATCCAGCCTTCAGTACAAATTGAAGATCTTGAGCTGCAACAGGAGGAAACTGATTCCCTGAAAGAAGAATAAGTTCTGTAAAGCACTGTCTTTCAAGTAAATGTGTATACATATATACACACACACACACGTATATATATATAGAAAGAGCAGCATTAATGAACTTACAGATGGAACACACTCGATACTCAGGAGGTACTGGAAAAAACAATTCTAGTAGCCACAATTGCAGATTATTTTAAGCACAAAAAAAAAAAGATCTAACAACTATGCACGACAGAGTTGTTGCTTGTGTTGTTAACACCAGTTTAGTGAGGAAAAAATAGCAGTTTAGCAGGCCCTGCAAGTCTCAGAAAATAAACAAATGAAGTAAGCTATGGCAACTTAGAAAACATTAGCTTACATTCTGAATACACTGCTAAAAGCAAGCTAAATAATTGAAGTAGTGAGTTTCAAATGGGCAAACAAAAGCAAATTATCACAACTCAATACAATTAAATCAGGAATCTCATTTTCAATACACATAAGAATGTCTTGAAAAACAATACAGGTGCAGAACAAACTGCACTGTCTACAAAGGAAGAAACCAGATGAAGGGATGATAAAAAGTGGTGCCTGCTACAGACAGACATTGCACGATTTGCGTTATGACAGAAAAGCACTATTTAGACAAATCAGCTTTATACGGGGATACTAGATAGACCAAACACATTGCACAGAAGTCTGCAAAACTGTTGATCTAAAGATTCTATTTTTAGGTTTTGAAGAAGAACATGGCTGCATCTGCAAAATGGCAAATATATTCCAGTGCATTTTTCCCCTTTCTCAATAGTTAATTCATAGCTAGAAACACCACATGAACCAGTCTACCCTGCCCCAAGTTAAGACAGAAAACTACACGTTAAGAGAAATGTGTCTTCCCCTTCTGAATCCCTCCCTCCTCTGCAAAGAGACAGAATTATCATTTAAACTGCTAGTGTTAAAAGCATTAAGTATTTTAGCTGTGTTACAGTTACCAATATATATACACAAGTGTCACACATCTTTTTCCACAAGTCAAAAGAGCAGAATAAAAGCTATTCTTGTGCTCCTTGTTATTTAAGCACATTTGAGCATCACAGTGAAGTTCCCACTACTTATTATCATCAAATATTCATAAGAGTCACTGTAGGTAGGTGGCAAATTTGCATGGCAGCAATTATTCATCAAAATATATGTAATCTCATTAAGTTCCACCAAGAAAAACATACAAAAGGACTAACATCAGCTGACAACCCCTGTGTTAAACAAGCACTTTAAACTATCCAGAGCAGGTTAAAGATCAATCGTCAGCCTTGAACTAAAATCTCTATCTCTGGAAAGTGATTCTAACCTCCTAAGCTTTTAGGTTACCCCTTAAAATAGAATTTACTTTTTATTGGTTCCCAGAAACAATTTGCTTCACAGTGTCTTTTTTAAAATACAGTTGTGAGAAGACGAGAAGACAAAGAGACAGGAGCACACAGAATATTATTTTTAAAAAACCCAAACACTCTCAGAATACATTCCTTAAATAACACAACTTGCTCTTCAGACAAATTTTTTTGGGGGGGTGGGGAGGGGCTACTGTAAAATAGCATGTAGAATTTTACATATATTGACATTTCCACTGAAACTTTTTCTATTTTGTTTTAAGATTATCAGGGCACTAGGTATTTTTATAGCTCCTACGGAATTCTTAAAACTGTGTTAAAAATGCAGGAGCTCTTGGCTATATGCACATGCCTCTTCAAATGAGGCAGCTGTTCCCCCTCGCTTGGTAAGTATGCAACGACTGCACAATGTTAAACGAGAACATAACACAAAGACACTTGCATGGCAAGTTTAAGAGTTACTTAAGAAGATGATCTCACGATGATATTATGAGTGGGGGAAGTGACGAGTTTTTGCAATTACATATGGTGTGCTGCTTCCAACTGGTCATTGGGAGGCATCAGCGTGCAACTCTTCCAGCCTCCCCTCGTCCCGCAGGGCTCATGCTAGACCAGCGCTTCCCCACCGATGAGAAAAGGATAAAACCTACTTAAAAACAAATAAATAAAACTGGTTCGCTCCTTTGAATTTTTAATATAAAAACTTTGACATCAATTTGGAGCTAATTTTATGCTTTGAATTTGTTTTTTGAAAGGCAAACTTGGCAAGTAGTAATTTATTGCCTTTGGGAACACCTAGAGCCACAGATAAGGGACACAGAGTCCTGGGCAAATGCACAGAGGCTCCTTAATGTTATTCTGCCTACAGGCAGAACCTCACCTGAGCTATTTCAGAGAGCTAGAGACTTCAGAGAGCCGTCCCAGTTTCGCTGCTTCTGCTGACACAACCTGGCACTAATTTAATGATGCCATTTTCTGAAGCTACATTTATTTTGCAGATGGCACTGAATGATTTTGAGGAAAAGAACCCACATGAAAAAAATGCAGTCTTCCACTGTTACTTTGGCATTGCAGAGAGACTTCTTCCCACACTCAACCTATGGAGAAGCCAATTTGGTTTTCTGTCACTTAAGGCAACTGAGGCAGCAGCTCCATGTAACAAGATGTGGCTGCTCAGTAGCACTGCCCACCAAAACCTGTTTGAGAAGGCTGGGAACCGAAAATACAAAGGAACATTAGTGGATTGGCAAGCGAGAGGGACCAAATCTTAGCATTCCAAGACATACAGGCTGTACATGAAAGGAAAAAAGACTATTAGTTCAGCTAAATTCCCTCTTTCATTTCCCTGTACATCCTGCCATGGGGAGGGAGGGGGCAGAATAAGTAGTATCAAAAGCATGAAGGAAAGAGAAAAAAATACCTCCTTGCAGATTCTCATTAACTGCAGGTGTTATGCACATGTGGCAGGAAAAGGCTCACAGACCAAACCCTACCCCTCTGCAAACAAAACAAGGAGGGGAAGCAAGAACAGAGAACGAAGACTTCCTTCCAGCCACTGCCTAGAGCCAGCATGGAAAGACTCTTTAGCTGCATCACCTTTCTATCTTTCTTCCATTTCTTTCAGTGCTTTACTCTCTTGTCCACGTTACGAACGGAAGTAGCCTGCAATCCCTCGATGTGGCAGCTCCCAACTAGAAGTCTGAGATACCTGCAGCAGGTTGCTTTTTATTGTTGCTTTTAATCAATACATCGCTTTCCTGATCATTTAGAATAGCCCAGCTTTGCCATCAATCTCATAAGTTAACGTATTATTAAAGTAGTGCTTTATTATAGTAAGGCAGCATTTGTTTACATTACACTAAAGACTGTAATTCCACAGCTAAGATCAGAAACTCATCAGCTCATTACTATATAGGACTTTGAGTAAGATAGCTCTTTCTCCAAAGAACTTAAGATATCTACCACAGAAAAAAAGCGCAAGAAAGAAAGACTCACTTAAAAAAAAAAAAAAAGGAATTGAGAAACAAATTAGGAATGTGCTTCAAGTCACATACCCGCTTAAAGGCAAGGGCTGAGATCTGAATCTCCAAACACCAGTCTAATACTCTACTCTCATGCAGACTCCAAGACTTCCTATAGATAAGAGAAAGTATCCCCTTGCCTCATGGAAGCAGGTGAAGTAGTTTGGATTTCAATTTTCTCTGCTTTCCCTGGAGTTTGTCTGCCATGTGCTATGAAATGTAGTGCAGGATGCAAGAGAGCTCCTACTGGTATTAATTTGCTCAAGTGCCCAGTCAGTAGTTGTTGCTCACATCCTTATGGTCAAACCGATAACAAAATCATAGGGAAATTTCTCCCCTAAAAAATCAAACTAGCAGAGACCACAAGGACTAGCTAGTTATTTTGCCCCATAAGATCCATTTCCAGGCATGACGCAAGGTTTTAGGAAAAGAAGATGTTAACAGTGCCCTTAAATCTTTCATGCTTCCTTCCTGTGCTATTCTGCAGTTCTTGAGGTGCTAAAAGTTAAAAATATCAAAGAGCAAAATCGAACTGTGTGTCAAGAAATGCTCTGCAGCTTGCAGCTGTGTGAGTTTACGGGTGGAGAAAGGTACAACCGATGTTCCTGTGTACCCTTCCAGGATTAATTTTATAATTCTGTTATATCATTGCCTGGAAAGAGGTGGACACACCTGGAATTGAAGATATAGAAAAATATCTTTTCTATTTGGAGTTTCTACATTGCTAATACCTTAGATGTTCATCCTTATTCTTTTAACATGAAATGTCAATACTATCCAATATTTATGCTGATGATTAACTTGCATCTTCCAAAATATAGCTTAAATGAGGGAGGTCCATCTGCTTAACGTTAAAACCTTTCCTTATTTCTTGACCACCCACCCACAGATGAATCTCCCAGAATAATTTCTCTTCTGATCTTGCTGGAAATTACTTTCATGTATTCCAAACTAAAATCTGTAAGCTATGCTCCACATGCGTACTCCCAGGCTGATGTGCACAAAGGCCAAACACCAGATCATGATATTTATGAGGCCTAAACCTACAAGTTTTAAAGGGAAAGTAAATTACATATATAATGCACCAGGTTCTCCTTGGTTCTAGGTCCTTTTGTGCCAAGTGAACAGCTGGCAATTATTACAATGCTATTGCTGCCAGGCTAAAAATTCCTCCAGTGAAAATAAAGTGGAATGCTTTCTCTCAAGCATAAAGCCAGCTCTTCCACTGACCATGCTCTGACATCACGTTCATGTATTAAGGCACAGGTTCCACTGAACAAATTCCAGAGATCCAGTGTGACTTCTTGTGATTTTAGACTGCTCTGCAGTTTATGACATGTCCAGAATGTTTGCACCCTGATAATCAGAGAGCTAAAATCTTGAGCAGTATGATTTTGCACCCTATTGCAATAGTGAGTTGGGCCCATTATTCAAAAGCAGCTTTATCAGTATCATTTTGCATGACAAAATGCATGAAATTTAATAATTATTCACGGCATTTTGATTTTTAGAGAACACAAAGGTGTTAAAATTTCATTCTGCATACTAAATAAATAACACAAATCAGGTTGTATCATTCTGTACTGTACATCGATAAGAATATTTTTTATTTCTTCAATGTGGG